CAAAACATTTCCATAAATTTCTTTGATATTCTTTGTGGCTACAGAAGCATTGTTGCCCTTCTTGTATTCAAACAGCATTACATGCCAAATGTGTGTCTCGTCATGTGCCATCACTATAAGTGATTAGAATATACTAAACTTTACACATTATATACGCTATGCTAACGTGACATTTAGGTGGTTCATTTAATTATTATACATGATGTACATTTTTTTGGGGAGTGGTTAATGAGTGTGTTCCAAAATGTGACATTAATTTCTTGACGACCTAATATAATTAAAATAAAAAATATATTTTTAAACACTATTCAGTTATTTTAAAAGAAAACATGATAATTAAATATGTGAAACTTTTATGAAAATTTTTAAATGAAATGTAAAATAAGAGAGCTAAAATTTTCTTTATTATAAATTGATAGCATTAAGAACAAAGTTCATTTAAAGTATTTAGCAGAGACTGAAGTACAAACATTTTTCTCAAACATAAATTTGCAGAATAGGAAATTGGCAAAGGTTGGAAAAGTGTGGACACATGCATCTATGGCAAGAATTATCTGTGTCCTTCACTTGTTTTCTCAAATTACCACATCACGTGGCAGTTTACAGAACATTACAGAATACTGATTTAGCACCATTTACTTGTCTTGGTTACTGACTGGTGCAATAGAGTCAACTAATGACTCTTTTACTGGGAAACTTGGAGTTTTGGTTAAATTACTTGCATGTTGCATTTGGCTTAAACTCTTAATGCTGCTTGGTTCCATCTGTCTGAACTTTATGACTTTCTACAAAAGTTATTACTGCAACCATGAAAGGCATGGAAAAAGAACGGTACTTACTCATGCATTGTATCTTTCTACATCAAATTTCCAATTCTTTTTAAGTCTTATATTACTCATTTTGCTACTGATTTCTAGACATGGACTACAAAATTGGACTTAGATATGTATATCATGTGAATAACTGAACTAGCTTGATTATTGGAAAAACAGTCATTTATCTCTTGGTTTACCTCTTACAATATAGTTTGTGGCATAAATTGGACTTAGATGTGTATATCATGTGAATAACTGAACTAGCTTGATTGTTGGAAAAACAGTCATTTATCTCTTGGTTTACCTCTTACAATATAGTTTGTGTCATAAATTGGAGTCACTGTTTTAAGCTCATTCCTAGTCTCAACAGTGTTTGGAAGTTTATCAATTAAAACTAGCTTGATTGTTGGAAAAACAGTCATTTATCTCTTGGTTTACCTCTTACAATATAGTATGTGGCATAAATTGGAGTCACTGTTTTAAACTCATTCCTAGTCTCAACAGTGTTTGGAAGTTTATCAATTAAAAATAATTATATTCTATTTGTGTTATAGCACAGGTACCTGAATTTTAAATGTACATTTCTAACTGACAATAAGATTGGGCCAAAATGTTAGCCTTAATGTCTTGATTCCATAGAATATACTATGTATGCAGACTTATCTGATATATTCAGTGGTGGAAAGATATTTTTTTACATTTCATGTTGTTCTTTAATAAACCCTTTGTAATTACTCATGATAACAAAATCATGAATTCTGTCTGTCAGTGCTGGTAACACTACTGAAGTATGAATGCGATGCAGTTAAACAATCATGCATCTTTTGTTAGCCACTTCACTGTTTTTAGTATAAAAGAAACTTCTTTTTCTGGAAGGGATCTCCTTTTCTGAGGGTAAACATTCAAGACCTTTATTTGTCAGGTAAATAAAATTAAAATTAAATCTTTATCATTCCAAAAAGAACACTAACATGATAATACAATTGTACACAGAGAGCTTATCTGTACATTGTTCAATAACTTTAAAACAATCAATAAACGTGTAGAATACAAAAAGTAGGGACAAGCATGGCACAGTAGTTATTGTGTCTGAACGGAGAATCCAAGGATTCTCCCCATTAATAATAATTGTATATTGGATATTGTACAACAGTGACATTCAAATCCCACTATTCAATCAGATGAGAGTAGCTAAATCATTTTTAGTAGCTATCACTGACTAACGGCCTTCCCTCTAGTTTATCAGTTTAAAATATGAAGAGTTATATACAGACTTGCATAGCTTTGTGTGAAAATTTCAAACAATATTTGAAGAAGAATAAAAGGAGGTTGAGATGATGAAGTAACTTTTATCTTTATATATTAGTATTTACAAAATAGAAAAGAAAACTTCAAAGACATTTATTGCACCTTTACAACTCATTCTCAGCCCCCTTTGGAGACTCCTGTTTTCATACCATCTTTAGAATTTTTTTATAATTATCCTTTTTACTAAAACAAAAACAAAAAACAATTGTTTTATTTAGTAAACAGTTTCAAATGTTCTCTAAGTTATAAATCTTTAATAAGATAATAGAGTAATACTAAAAATATCCTAAGATAAGCAAGAAAACTGTAAAAATAGAAAAATATTATAAATGTAAAATACACCTAAAAGTAAACAATATATCCTACAGTTACTTATGTAAAGAACTAGGAAATAAAATACACATTTTTGTAGCTATTCAACAATTTAATTCTGCCTTCACTACAAATATAATAAAGAGCAGAGTAATATCTTGTTTGTTTCTAATAAGACGATATCTGATATACACAAGTAGTCACCGATTATAACTATTTAATACGTACCTGAAGGTTCACAATGTTGCCAAATTTGGAAAAATGTTCATTTAACTGTGTGATGGTATTCAAATGTCGAGGAACCTTTCTCACTTCCAGTGTACATCTTCCTTGGTTTGGTATAAAAGGTTTCTTTGAGTCTAAACGGTTATAATCAAATGGCCTTCGCTTGACATTGGTCATAACACTCGGTTGTACAGATACAGAAGAGACTAGACCAGTACCAATGCTATTATGGGATGCTGTAACAACAATGCTTGGAGGTATTTTAGGTTCAAAAACTGGTTGACTTCTCAAGGAGGTTGTTGACACTATTAAACCAAGGAAACAGTATCATGGTTAACAAATTAATAATTGTAAGTCAAATCAACAGATCAAACACTTTCTTACAAGTTTTATTCTGCTTACAACAAGAATATAAAGAAAAACCAACCTATAGGATTGTCAATTGTAGGAACACCAATTAACTCTCTTGTTCTTTGTGGTGGAGGAAGGAACATTGGAGGAGGTCCATGAGGAATAGATAACCTTACTGGAGGCATTCCTGTATCTTTTGGGCCCCAAAAGGGTTGATGCATTCGGAATGGTCTTTTAATGCCTGGTGCTTCAGGATTGTATGGCTCTGGAGCATATGACTCTTTAAAGAAATGAACCAACTTTATATTTTCACAATAATAATTATTAAATGTTTAATAATTTCTATAAAGAAAAGCTTAAAACTTCTCCAACATTACAAACACAAGAGTTTATGTTCAAAGATTAACATTAGACATAACTCACAAAACAGGTTATAGTACTGACAGTACACAGATTTATAATAAATTATCTTTACAGTATTGAATTTCTGGAATAGTAGACAAAATCTTTACACAACTAGAAAAACATTTGTGGCCTATCGATGCTACCAATCTTCTAAACAAAACTGTTAAAAACTTGAGTGGCTTTGAGAGAAATCTTACAGAATATGGGTGTCCATGAGTTCAAATTGTTTTTGAAATTAAGGAATTTGGTAATCTATTTAACATGTACAAAGTTTTGTTTTTAGACAGGTAGTATCTTGGACAGATCTGGATCAACCAAACATTGTTTATGTTTGAATAAGAGGCATTTCGATAACCTTCATGTTATCTTATGTAAGAAATATGCAACTAGACCTGAAAGTGAAATGCATACAGAATGTTGAGATTAGGACAAATATATACCAAAAGATTCCAGAATATGCTTTGCAATATACAAGCTTTGTGTTTGAGGAACCAAATTATTCCAAATCTATCCAAGATATACAGATAAATCATGAAATTCACATCATTAAGAAAAGTGTGGAAACTTTCATCAAACAATAAAATTAATTTCAATTTATTTGATTACTTAGTAAACTGTTCATCTTCACAGTTTGGCCTTTATATACAGCACAACTTCATGAACATAACATTAGCCACATGTTCTCTCCTGCATAGAGCATGCACAATAACCACCAAATGTTAGACAGTTGATAGCTCCAAAAACAAAGATAACCATACATTTTGGTCACAATTGGGTAAATTAACTTATCTTGTATAATATAAGGAAACAGAAGTTTATTCTATTGGCCTTGTACCTACTCTCTGTTTTATGCTGCTATATTACATACTACGACTGATATTAGTGCACTAGTGCAACCACACTTGTACATTACACATTTATTACATCAAATAAAACCATTATTGGCCTTGTACCTACTCTCTGTTTTATGCTGCTATATTACATACTACGACTGATATTAGTGCACTAGTGCAACCACACTTGTACATTACACATTTATCTACATCAAATAAAACTATTATTTCTCCAATTCTTACCTGAAGGACTGAGAGGTAATCATAATTAATATGTGATAACGAAATTTCTATATCAGGGCAATATTAAAAATAATTAAGTACTGCCGTAGTAGGGATCGTGATGAAACAAAATGACAGCCATAAAAATCGACCATTTAAAACCATCTTTAAAATGTCTATATATCAACAATGACTATTTCACAGTATTGGCTGAGCAAAAACTAAAGCTTACTGTACTTATAATTGTGTGCTTTCTTATAGCAAAGCCACATCGGCCTTTCTACTGTGTCCTCCGAGAGGAATCAAACCCCTGTTTTTAGTGTTGTATTTATAAAGTCACCTAAATCACTATAAACATGTTTATGGAATGAATTAAAATTTCACTATTTCAACAAATTTTCATCTAAGTAAGCAAGTGACTTTTCCAGATAAGTGTACAGAAAACATGAAAACTTTATTGTTCTACTTATTTCACATAACCCCTACATCTGGGTTCCCAATTATTCCTGTCTTGTATGGAAAAGGATAAAAATGGATAATGAATTGGATGAGGCATTACTCTAGACATATAATTAGATAGGGTAGGTTTGAAGAAAGCCTGATGAGTAAAATCAAATCAGGTATATGTGGCCCCACGCTTAATATTCTGGCGCACAAAAAATATAGCTAATAAAAAGGAAATAAACAAGTATAATAAAAAAAATTTAATTTTATAAGTAGAGATTAATATCTACGTAACCTAGCTAGCTACAGTGATATAAAAAGTTTTAATGCTACAAAAAGTATTGAGACAAGTCAAACTAGAAAAACCAAACTACTTAAAATTAGAAAAATGTTATCCCTACTTCGGCTTAGATTAAAACAACTACAGTGATTTGTCAAAGTGGGGGAAAGAAAATTTTAAAATTCTAAGTAACTCAGTTTCTTGTTTCAATACTTTTTGTAGCATTAAAACTTTCTATATTACTATACCTAGCTAGGCTACATATATATTGACCCTTACGTGTCTTTATAAAATTTTAAAATTCTTTATTAGCTACATGATCAGCCAAAAGACTGTTTAGCTACCTTAAAAATATGAGAAACCTAACTGTGATAATAAACTGCTGATTGAATTACATTCATGTCAGTTTCTACGAAAAATTAACTTATAATGAACTACTGAGTGATAGAGTGATCCATGAAATAATATAAGGAATTGAATAATAAAACCTTTTGGCTCAGAACACTGAATCTGATATACACCAAAGGAAATTATATTCAAAACAGAAATATTAAGCATGCAACATTCTGCAGGATATAAACATAAACAAATCATAACATTTCAAATTGTAATTTATAATCTAAATTTTAATATTACCCAAGTTTTAATATCTTAAAAGGAAATATTAAAAAATTCTCAATCTTCACTTCTCTGTGTCACTTGACAAATCTGCACTCCAATTTACACACTTTAGATTTTCTTCCTACCCTAGTACGATTTTCTGAATGTCCAACTAACTAGAAACACATACTATAGTAAATTTAGAACCTTCAATCTTCTTGCTTTGCGAGACATGAAAACAAAAGTCAACCACAACATAAACATGACATGTCATTTTGTCTTTCAAAAAACATCAATAATTCTCTCTGGCATTGCTATGGTATTATTTATATCTAACAAGAAGAGCAACTCTATTTTTACAAGATTCCTTACACTTTTATTTAATTTTGGTGTCCATACATAGGTAGATATTTAACCTCAGCTTCATCGCTTGTGATCGTGTTTTTCTGGACTGACCAGCTAACAAAATTTTTTAACCTATTTATAAGTTACTTAGAAATCCAGTTAAATTACTGCAGGTTTTGGACATTCTATTCTAGTGTCTGACACTATGTTTTTGTGTCCTAAAATACACATCTGAAAAGAACATCAATAATTTTGTGTAAAACCAACACAGCATGAAAAACCTAGTTCTAAGGAAGTACAATCAAGTACAAATTAGTAAAATAACTTTTAATTTTAATTTAAGTCAAACATTTCTTGTTTTTATGTATATTTTGTATTTATTGTAAACAGAAATAACTAAAGTGTAAAATGTAGAAACTTATCAGCTTTTATTTAATGTGATTGTAGACTTATTTGTTGTTTACACTAAGTTCTCCTGCTGTGGTTAATTGCCTGTCATGTACTTAGATAGAGTCTAAATGGCATCATAAAGTTATAAAATGAAAAGGTTAGATAGCTGAGACTATTAGGATAAATAACTGTAACAGTCGTTTATACTGTGAAGCTCTTATAGAAAAAATTGTATTATTGATTTTTTTAATTTTTTCCCCTGTACGTCAATTACTTTGCTTTAATAAACCTTTGGTATTCATTTAAAAGGTTCTAAAGGTTATGCAAATGAAACATTAAAACTTTAAGGTGAAAAGAAATGTTTCTATTCTTATTATAAAAATCACCTTTGATTCAGCAAAAGCTTCATAAATTCGCAACAAATTTTTAGTAAAAATATTTTATTAACATATCTACTTTTCTGTACACAAAAGACTTTATCTAATACAGTGTTTGTTAAATGCCTGCTAATATTTGAGAAGGTAACTTTTATAAATTCAAAATTATAGTAAACATTACCATGTGTAGCTTCACAGAAACGGAGTTGGTCCAATGGACCAATACTGTTGACAAAAATTTGACATGTTACAGTCAACATCCTAAAAGTTTGAATAATTAAAGTAAAATATTTCTTTCAGAACTTCAATTCTCTCTTCACTTTAGTATTTGGCCTTTTTTCATTTATCATCAGTGTCATTTGAGCACTGCATACCAAATTCACAAAAACTAAGCCTATTTCTGCTCTCATCACTACAGGATTGATTTTACTGTTTCATATTTCTACACTAATTGTATAAGCTCAATAAAAAAAAGTGATTACATATTACATATTTCACATCAGTAAACTACGATGATCTTAATTTTTACAATTACTCAAAATTAAGGCTGAATGGTAGTTTAATTGACATTCACAATTTGCTGTTAAAACCCAAACATTCACTAAATTACAATAATAATTATAACTTATCTTCTTTCTGAAGCTTTTTTCAGTTGTACTGGTACAAAATGGTGTAAAAAATAAGCTCAAAAATTCACTTTACTGGTTGACTACTTTTAACCTCCTATTAAAACTGATTAGCTACAATGAATATATGTTGTCAACTTAACAATAGTGGGAATAAAAAAACTTCCTAATAATAATAATATTTTATTACTTTCAATTTGCTTGAGCTATTTACTTAAAACCCATCATATACTATTTTACTGCATGTAAAAGGTAAGTGTCAACATACATTTACATACAAATGTTATCAACACTAAAAAAATTCTAGGCACTGACCAGGTGGTGGGGGAGGATGAGCGGAAACTCCAGGTGGAAATGGAGGACGTGTGAGAGGTGGCTGCCCATGAAGGGGCAGCAGAGTTGGACGAATGCCTGGTGGTGGAGGAGCTGAAATTGTCCAACATACATAATGAAACACAAAGTAAAGTAATCAAAATATACGAGTTATGAGTATTGTGTATGTATAGTGAATGTTTACAAGGTAATGAACTTTAAAATGCTGTAAGTAGAAAATCTGGAAAACTCTGTATTAGCCAATGAAGCAGCTAAGCATAAATCTGTCTTTATGTTAGATAGCTACACTGCTATGACCCAGATCTTTTTACAATTCTTCACAAAGTAAGATTTCTTGTATTCCGTTAAAAATGACTTTAGCAGGAAAGCATTTTACAAGGTATCACCTATTCTTATTCAAAATATAATGAGTCAGATGTTATTTCAAAAAATATGTCAAGCTATAAATAAAGGGTGGGGTGGGGGAGGGTAAGAAGATAAAAGAACTTTTAATTTTTATAACTTGAGATAAAACAGAGTTATTACAGTTGATGTTAAGATTTTCTCAAATACCTTGCACATTTACATGAGGTGCACTGCTAGAAGTTGGCCCAAAGCCAAGCAAGGAGACATCTTCAACAACAACAGGGTCAGTTCCGTGGTCAAATGGACACATGTCGCCTTGCATGCAGTATCCCTTTTCTGTTAAAAAGATTATTGACAATACAATAAAAAGCTAATTAGCTTAGCTGATTGCAAGCATAAAACAAATAACTATCATTTAACTATATATAATTTGCAGTTAAAATCTTTATTTTTTTCAGAACTTTAATGTATAAACCATTATATATCTTCTTTGTGATATAACAATATCAAATAACTACTCTTAGTATGGGAGAAAAATAGCAAGCACTGTCGATGAAAAGATACAAATAAACTTTCTCACTTATACTTCGATGCAAATGCATTGTATATTAAGCAATCATAGCTGCTTCAATGTTTATTTTAGTTCTAACACATGAAACATTTTTATACATCAATCATGTATATATATATACAAAGCAATGTTTTCAGCAATGCACCATACAGACCATCAAAGTCTCTGCAACGTTTTGTTCCTCTGTTAGGATATGGACCAGTAGTAACAGGGGGTACACCTGGAGCAGTGGAAGATACTGGATCAGCAGTAGTTATTGCTAAACTTGGACCTGTGCTGTGAGGAGGTACACGATAATCTGTATCCCCATGATCAGCTGGATGCTGTAGAGTTTCTCCTTGGCCACTTGAATTTTTTTTTATATGTGCTGAAACAATTTGGAATCAAACATATTTAAGTACTTTCAAAATACATGTACATCCATTACTACTTTAATTGTAACTATTAATTATTTTATAACATATATAACATATGGAGAACAAGGAGTCATTTAGACTACAAAGTTGTCCCTGCACATCCAACTCCGAGAAAAAGAAAATAAGAAATTAAATTCATATATTTTTCAGGAAATCATTGATTCTAAAGATATGGAGATGCACCCCAAAAGATGCAAATTAGCCACAGCCTCAACTTTTCACTTGTAAACCTCAGTGTGTGAAGGTAGATGTGAAGTATCTGCAACAATGTGTATATAACAAATCAATTATTTCAACCAATTAGCATTACCAAAATGAAATAATTGAGATATCTGCATTTTCAATTCAAATGGAACTCGTTCTATAGGCCCTTCAAAGCCTCTCCTCCTGATTGACAGCAGATGCTTTGATAAAGTAAGTAATATGAGCAGCCTATTCTCTGGTGTGCCAGCATAGGTTGAAGAAATAAACTCTGATTCAGTGTACAACCACTCACTCAATCTTGGGCTGCAAGAAGTAAGCTGAAACATGCATTATGTTCCAGGAGCACTAAACTTCATCCATGATGCTTCTAATTTATATGAATGAAAGAGGCTGGCTTTAAGATTTTTTATTATTATTATTATTTTTTAATCATTTTAATTTAGTTTAGAGGATGGAACAGCCGAGATGGACCAGTAGGTCCCAAGTTGTTCCAAAACGATGTGTTGTGTTATATGTCATCTGCAAGTCTGAAAATCATAAAAAGCAATACGAGTCTGTTTCTGGTTGCAGGAAGTAGTGTGCAATATTTTAACCCTCTGCCCAAACACATGGTGTGTGAATTAAGTAGCATGTTTCCCATGTTTTTTATGCCTATGAAGAAATATTGGCAACTTTGTTGGCTCCTCAAGATGACAAAAGTGCAAGAAATGTAAGAACGGCAAAGATTGCAGGGCTTTTTAAACAGGTTGAAAGTGACTGAACACACTTAAACTGTGAAGCAATATATGATCTTTGAGAGGGGTTGCCAAAATTTTACAGGACAAAGGAGCAAGTGCCCTTGATTCCCTGAAGTGCAGCATACTTGTTCTGAAATTAATCAAGGTAGAGATGAGACGATTCCATAAATATGGTTCACATAGGCTAATGAAAAATTCAAATCTAGGACCTAACTTACTGATTTTAACAGTTTACAAAATGTTCTAGCAATAATATAAACAATGAAATACAAGAAACAATTTTAAACTCCCTTCCCTTTTTATATTCAAAAATATCACCTACAGTTTTAGAGTACTTTTTCAGTACAATGAAATTACATAAAATGCAAAAATCATGTTTTACAACAAATAAGCCAAACAATACAAAAGTCAACTGAAATAACTTGAAAAATATGGAAAGAAATTGTAAAGTTTTTGTAACCTAATTAGTGATTTGAAAACGTCAACTAAAATCATATTGCACATTTCAAGGGAATAACATTTTGATACCATCCAAAAATGAACACTATCAGTTTATATTTCTTATTTCTTCCATCACTTTTTGGAGTTCAATTTTCTTTTCTTTCAGAGACATCTTAAAACTGTTAAATTTGAGGATTCATTCTTGCTTGGATGATTTCTTTAGCTTCATCTACATCCTTGTCAGCTTCCTCCTGAAGATGCTCAATCTCCTTGCAAAGCTTCTTCGTTCACTCACTTAGCTCCCTTTGTCCTGGCCATACAGTTTTTTTTCTTTGTCCAGTGTTCTTCCAAGCTCTTGCTTGTAAATACTGCTGGTACTTTGCCTTGAAGATTCTATATAATAAGTCGTGCTTAGAGAGACAATAATTTTTCCTACATTTCCAGATTTAGTTATATCATCTTTGATTATTCTTTGTGATTTGTAGGTGTTCTTAATTCTTTTTTATAAGTCAAATTTGCACTGACTGAAAAGCCTCTTTCTAATGTGGCCTATCATTGTGACAGGATCAATATCAGTTGTTCAGTAAACAATTATCCAATGCCACCTCCCTACTGTTACCCTGAAGAAAATGGCTGTGTTGACTTCAAAAAACATTATACCTTACTCCTCTGAATGGTAAAAAAAACCAATTGATAATTTTTTTGGGAAAGACGAATAGCCTCAAAGTCTCTTTAGGAAACAGAAATTTTAGAAACTTGTGCATCTGAAAACTACGTAAACTGAAAGTGAGTCTTCAAATATGCTTAAAACCATAATAGGTAACTTTGCTGGTTATTTTATCAGTGTACTTCATTATGGATACAACAAACACTGCATATTGCAGAAATAACAGTTTATCTTTCTTCCTTAAAATTAAAATTGCTCAATTAACTTCACTTTAAAAAGCTGGCACTTCTATAATAAATCTTAGTAGTAACAACGTATAAGAACTTAAATGTAGTTTGAGTATAGATATTTAGCATATCATTTATATTGGTAGTACAAGTACCATAACATAAACAAAAACACGACTGATACTGTAAAGAATGAGTCGAACATATTGAACAGAGAAAAAGAAGTAAGACTATAAATAAATGGAGATTTGTTACGCAAGGTTATCTCAGCTTCTGCACACATTTTTATAAGATTTAGATTTATAAATAAGCAGTAGCTACTCGTTTGATGGCTATATTTTTTATTTCTCTGACAATCTTTTAACTACAACAGATTGTTTTTCATTCTTATAGAATACAAAGATCAATATTAACATTTCTATTTCTGTAAACCACTTGGCTTTTTTAGTGAAGATTTTTTAAAATTTGAAGTAAGTGATATCTCAGAGGCTTAACTGTTTATTCTTGAACTTTGGATAAATAATAAATATACACATTTTTTTAATTTTAGTATTCTTGAATTCCTAGTGAAATCGAAGTTGATCTCCATTATATGTCTAGTTACACTTGAAATAGAGTAAAATTTATACTGCCATGTTCTTTGACACACACACACACCTAATGGTTGAAACTATAAAATTATCATGGTAAAGGTGAAAAGAGTACTTTTACCTTACATGAGAGCATATCAAACTGAGAATGATGTCCTTAAATCCAAAATAATTGGTAATGTTACATTGGTTTTAAGATGAAAACAAAATTAAGGAAAACATACTGCAAATTTAATATTTTCTCGTCTGGAAGTATATTTTTGATATATATTCACCTCCACACACAGAATTGCTTGATTCCTCATACATCTGTCTATGAAACTTGTATGCCACTAATCTTGAGCTAACTACCACATAAAAAATCATGTTTAACATGAACTGTGGAAGTGCATGATGACATCATCATGCAATGAAAGCCCTCCACCAACAGGAGGGCAATACAACCTCCTTGAGCAATAACTCCCCCTAAGCACTTTCGTTTGAAATATCTTCATTTGTCGAAGAGGCAAGAAGAAAGGGGACTGAAAGTGGGGAGGACAGATGAGAAGGTATGAATAGGTATCTATCAGAAATACATTTTCAGTTAAGGAAATTGTTTATTTCCAAAATGATACCTCACCTTCATACACAGAATAACTAGAATCCCACACTGAAATGGTAAATGGGCTGGTGCAAACATTAAACCAAGGTAAGCTCCCTTCAGAAAGTGCCCAAAGGGGTAAGCCCATGAATTGTGATACCAATTGTTAGGACTCCATAGGAGCACACCCGTGGGAGACTGCATTTTGTCACAACCAGGGCATACTCTTCACCTCGAAGAAAACAGAGAAAAAAACAAAAAGCCTCAAGTGTTGCAGGGATGGGTAGAATTTTATCATGACCAACTGAGCACCCACACACAAGTGGTAGGCGAGCCAAGAAGTGTAATGTGGTTAGCTCGCAATCAGACCATACTGTGTGATGGTGTGCATGTATCACCTTGACTCAGCTACATAGACAGAGACAAGGACGACAAACCCTTCCCACTGCAGAAGAAAGGCACACAAGCTGTTTGAGGGGTGACCAGCACAGTATAAACAATGCCACCACTGCCCCACCTCTCACCATATTGTGCTGTACACAACCAGTGAGGAACTCTTCAAGGCTTTTCATCCCAGTGGCTAGGAACTGGTAAGTGGAAAAGATATCCAGTGCTCCACTTGAAGAAGGGTGGTGGAGAATTCTCATTGGAGAGACCCGGAGAAGTGCCTGGATCCCTTTCAGATGCCTGCCAGAATGGTCTTCTGATGGAGACAGTGCAATGGGTAACCACAAAACCCTATTTTTAAAAGCTGGCCCACAAGAGCCAAAGAAGTGGATGGTCACTTCACTGGTGCTAGCTTCTTCCATGACAGTCAATGGTATGGTAAGGTTTGGATCAGATAATTGAATAATTTTAATACCATGAGGATACTTCTAGTGGTTTCGCTAAACTACCTGTCCTAACAGTGAGACAGTGGTAAAGACAGGGAGTATGGGTTGAACTCTTTCTGTTAACACTGGCCCACTACAAATTTTAGAAAATAGGACTACCCTGGTAGGCAACATCAGCCACCTGGTGGGATCCTATAAAAAAAGAAGAAGAAAATGTACTTATCCTTATCAAAGATGGTATGTAGTTTTATTGAAGAACAGTGACTGAAAAGAGTCGAACTCCCACAAGAGATGAAACTTTCAGATGATGAAGATAATGGGAGATGAACATATGCAGATTCATCCACATGTCAACCTGAAGGATCTCATCCAAGAGAAGGAGACAGTTGATAAATCTGATGCAACCAAATGTGAAAAAACTATCTTAGGATGAAAGGTACAGTTTAGTTAGAGAGCAAGTACAGTGAAAAAGAATGCCAGAAGCATCAATGGCATAAACATTTGAATGTAGGCAATGACAGGCAAAAATATGAAGAAAAAATTTCTTCAGAGAAAAAGGTATAATGAACATGAAGCCACTGGTTTGAGTAAAGCATTTGTAAGAGCATGTAAAACCATATCAAAGTCCCAGTCAGGCATGGGAGTAGGAGGATGGGGTCGGTGAAGAAGGAAGGAAGGCTTGGAACAAAGTGGAGAGAACAGAAGAAGTAAAACCTGACAGTAATGAGAATGGAGCAATGTGGTTGATAAAGCCACCCAAAAACCAGCAATAGTGGAAAACTACAATTCATGGTTGAACAACTTTGTGAAAAAGGTTGAAAAGTGGGCCACATTAGGATGGCCCAGAAGAATGGAAAGGTTGATGGACCATCATCGAAAAACCCACCACTTCTGTCGACAAATGGGCAGAGTTGAAGGATAACAGGAATAGGATAAGAAAAAAGCTACACATTTGGAAAATCCAGCCATGCAGGCAATGGACTAGACAAATTCCACACATGAAGATGAAGGGACAACACCCTTGAGTGAATAAAAAATGAGGTTGGAACAAGGAGAGTGGAAATGGAGCAGAAGAGGGGCTTGGACACTAATTGATGAAGCAGAGGAAATCAGGATTGTGCCAGCCAAAGAAGCACCACCAACAGGACCCAACAAGGAGTGTCATGTATCACAGTGAGGATACAATGGAGAAGAGGAATAAGAGAATAAACATACAGAAAAAGGTGAAACCAGTCCTAACTGAGAGCACAGACAATCAGGGCTGAAGGATGAAGCAATGGAGACCTAAAGAGGGAAAGTTTAGTGCTCAGAGAGGTGATGACATTGATGAGAGGCATGCCCAACTGTGAGCAAACCCAATGAAAAACCTGAGAGTGGAAAGACCACACCATGGTTAAAGCCCTGTCCAGCTGAAAGAAGTAATCTGCCACCAAGTTAAGAGCCCCTGGCACATGACAAGCCTTTAGACAAATCCAATGGAAATAAACCCAAAATAACAGGACCAATGTGTAGAAATAAGAGTCCTCGAATAGGTACCCCCCGATGGTTGATTCAAGAAACAACTGCGGAATTTTCAGAGTGAAACATAACCAACTGATCCATGAAAAGAGAAAGGAAATGGGAAAATACCAGACAGATGGCACAAAGGTCAAGGATGTTGACACCCACACACCCAAAGTCCTGCAGTCATCCAGATATGCCTCCTCCTCAGCCCTACAGAGAAGTATCTGTGAAAAGATAAGAGATCTGGTTGGGGCAACAAAGGGATGCCCACTACAATGTTGGCTGGCATGGTCCAACCACCAGGACAAATCCTCAAGAAGAGAAGAAAGGAAGTGCACAAACAAAAACAACAGATTCTGAAAAAGGTTCCACTGGTCCTGCAATTTCCACTGGAAGAAGCACGTGTGTGTGCAGCCAATAAATGAATGAGCAGTTCAAAGAAAGTCAGAGTTCCCAAAAGCAAAATAACCTCATGTATAGGATGAAAAAAAGAAATATAAACCTTGGTGACAAAACATTACATTGCTCATAAGCTAAGTGGTGAAGGCTGAGCCCAAATTAAATGAGAGTTGAAGAAAACAACCAGCTGTACCAAATACAAGGTGGGTGTGATAAAAAGATTTGGAAGGCTTGACAAGCTAGCCTAGCTGAGCAGACTCCTGCAGAAAAATGAAGGTGTGAGAGAAGGAGTCCTCTTGAGAAGGGGCAAAAAGAAGCCAGTCTTCTATGTAATAATGGAACCTCAGCCTCAATCCATGAACAAGGTGGACAAATACCCTAAGATTCAATTAAAAAGATAAGAAGTAAACACAACACCAAAAGGAAGAGCATGGTATCGGATGAAACAAAGAAAATATCTGGAGGATGGGGCGATCAGAATGTGTAAAAATGGTGTCCAAAATGTTAACCTTGGTCATTTACAGTCTGAGTGAAAAGAAATGTTCCATATGGATTTGTGGGATGATAAGAAACCAGTTTAAAGAAAACAGGTCAATAACTGGGCATCAGATCCCAGTATTCTTGAGGACTAAAAAAAAAGATGAGGAATAATCAGGTGTAGGGGTAAACACCCTCTTGATGGTGTTTTTGGCTAAGAGATCTGAGACCACATCTATGAAATATTGAAGATAAGGGGGAACAGAAGGAGGAAAAAAGGAAATGGAAATGGGGAGGAGGAGAAGAGGCTGTGAGTGAGAACCTGAGTAACCCATCTATCATCAGAAGAACATGAAGATTAAAGGCTGGTGAAAAGAGACAGACAGGCCCTCACAGGACCAAAAGTGACAGATGGTCATCAAAGAGATGAGTGATGACCCTGACATCAAGAAGTGGGAGGACAGGGATTAAAAGAAGGTCAGGAAACTGGGATGGGAAGGGGAGAGATGGATACAGCCACCGAAAATCTCAGGGCAAAGAAATGGAGTCTAACAAAGATAACAGAGATAAGCATAAGAGAGGCATACATTAGTTACAAAATCATTCCATCCTAACAGCTGAGGAGCCAAGTAAGATGGGACAGAGCAGAAAAAAAAAGTAAGAGCCAATGTGGTGAAAAGAAGAGAATGAACCTCTCCTCAGCATGATGAAGTGTCTCAGAAATAAGGTAAAGCTGGAGGTGATAAGAAACAGACAAAGGTGTAAAAACTGGGCACTAGAAAGAGAAATAAAAGTTAAGGGGTGTACCCTCCAAGTACGTAAAAGACATTCAAAAGACTGGGAATCGAGGAACAGAAATCAAAAACAACAGTAAGCCAGGACAACAGATTCAAGTAGACAAGGAGAGTGAGACATGTTAGTAGAGGTGTGCAGGTGTTTGAGAAATGAGTCTGCACCCTAATGTCAGGTGAAGGAGGGAAGACAAAGTAGTTTTGTTTATAGGTTTCATGTAGTAAAGCATGGCAGGAATCAAAATGCAAAAGGGAAAGAAAAGAACATACCTGCAAAATCATGACAAGGAGGAGATTAAAAAGGTGAGAATTTTCCTCCATAGATAAAGCTGTGACTAGAGCAAACCCAGTTGGAGAAGATAGATAGTCAAAATCTTCATCATCCTGATAATGTTCAAATTGGGGAGAAGGATCATCAGCTGAATGGATGGGATGAGGAAGCCAGTGAGCATGAAGGAACTCACAACAAGTTCAACAATGACTATTACATCTTCCACACACAACAAGCTCCCAGTAGCCACAACAGATACAGGGCCCATGTTAGAAACATTATCATTTTCACGATACGAAGCGAAGTTACCATTACTTGAGAATTCATAATGGGTAAGCAGGGAAGAAAATATTTTTCTTCTTTTTCCTTGGTAATAAAAAATCGAGTTAAACTTGAATAAAATTTAAGTTTCATAAACTATTAGATATCTCATGTAATTGATTAATAATTTAAAAACACGTCTGTTCTAGCCAATGCTGAAGAAAAAAAATGAAATTATTTTGAGCACAAGTGATTAGGGGAGTTACTGCTAAAGAGGGTATGTCACCTTCCTATTGGTGAAGGGCTATTGTTGCATGATGGCATCATGCACTAGTGCAGTCCATGTTAAACACGTGATTTTTAGGCCAGAGTTAGCGAAAGTCTAGTGGCATGCAAATCTCATAGGCAAAGGCACAAAAGATCAAGCTGTTCTTTGTGTGAAGGTGAGGTACGATACCGAGTATCATTTTGAAAAATTTAATTTCCCCACCTCCTTTAACATTCAAACCATACCATGATACTCTGTCTAGAGTAAGTCAATATAAGTTATTTTGTCACATTTTAAGTCTGAAAAATAAAGGGGACACATTTCTTTGTTGGAAAATTTGATATCAATTCAATGGACTTTTTACATGAGTAATGAGAAAATGACAAAGTACTAGACACTCTGTCTCCCCATTTCCTTAACCCTATGTGTATGGCAGCAATCAATGTGCACATGTAACAACATTTTTCACAGAGTTGCATTCAAAATTCGATTAAACAATTTTATCATTACTGTCAATAATCTTAGCATCAAAATATAGTTTATAATTCAAATTTTAAATCTTAATTTCAATAGAAAATATTTAAATAAATAAATAAACATAATTAAATTAAATGAATTGTTCAAAACTATTATGACTTTCCTCCAAGTGAATTACGAGCACCATACTATGCTTTGAAAAATTCGTAAAAATCACAAACAATAATCATTCCATTTGGAGCATGCTGAAATCAACCCAAAATCAAAACTTTCAATTAAAAAAAAACTTATGTATAAAATTAAATAAATAAAACTTTACTAAATAAGTTTCATCTCTGACAATTTTTTAATGCATGGAAGAATGACAACACATTTATTTTCTATATTTTATTTAATTGAATGATGCAATGCTGGCTTCAAAACAGAATGCACTAATCCAGGCATGGTAGAGTTAATAATACCTTTCAAAAGACTGCATGCTGTCACACTGAGTTTCTTCATTTCCATAAGCTTCCTATTTTATTTAATATCTGTTTCCATGACTAACTGCTTTTAATAAAGAATGAACTGATAATTTTGCTTGATGGGTTTATATCATAGCCTAACTCAATAAGTTAAGTTTTTACCTCTCTTCTGTATCTCTACTTTTGGTTGATTTAGATAGCAGATATAAAAACAATAATAATTAGTTCACTGAGCTAACTGAACAAAGACATAAAAAGAAGGGAAGGCTATATATAAATATAGGTATTTTATAACAAGTCATAAACCTGAATTGTTCCTTAAACTCAGCACAAGCCTTTAACAGAGTTTTTGTAATCAATAGGTGTGCAAACAAAAAAAAAAGATGTTTGCATACCTCTGGATCTATCTCTGGAGAATGATCGAGATCGACTTCGTGATCTGGACCCCAACGAAGGTGGGGACCAAGATCGTGTTCTTGATCGAGAATGACTCCAGCTTCTGCTACGACTCCGACTTTTACTTTTCTCTCCAGCTGAACGATCTTTGTTACCAAACTCTTTGTCTCTTGTAAATCGAGAATCTCTGTCTCTTTCTTTCTCTCTCTCTCTATCACGATCAATAGAAGAAGACACTCGGTGAATTTTGAAATCCTTATATCTATTATCATATCTATGACTAGGGTATGGCCTTCTCCATCGATCATCATTCACATATCTTCGACTTCTTCTGTCATCTGGCTCTCTAGCAGAAAAAAAAAGACAGTCTCATCTACATATCAACAACGTGATTAAAATGGTACATACTTGTATAATTTGTACCACAGTGTATATTTACTCTTGGAATAAAATTACATCTTATTTCTTTCCAGTCACAATGAAAGTATTATTATCCTAAAAATCCAATATTTAAGTAGACACAAGTCTTTATATCTTCACTAGTTTTGGAGCATTTGTCCTATTATAGCTATCAAAAGAAAAACACAGCTGTAACAAAATAATGCTAATTATCTTCTCTAAGTTAATTATCATACAAATCAGGATTCAGGTCAAGTGAAATGTAAATGATTGGCCATTCAGCCAATGCTTTCTTGAATGGTCTCCAAAAATCTTTTCTTAGTTATTCTTCTGAATTGAATCACAGACATTAAAGTACTCTTGTCTGTAAACAATGGCTAGACATCAAATAAGATAGATGAATGTTTAAAATGTCACACAAATGCAAACCAGTCAATCACAGTATGGTATTGCAAGATGGTACATTGACCTCATGGTGTCAACAGCAGAATGTGATACCATTTCCAAGCTAATGGTACATTCGCTCAGACACGTGCATAAGCCATTCCATTACCAAAAACAAAACAGACAGCTGGTAACACTAATTTTGTGCATTACAGGACCTGCATACTACCATCATTTGTACTGTAACATGCTGGTGTAATTAGCCCCAATTTCAGTCATAATCTATATATATAAATAAAGCAGAAAAATCTGTCTGTTTGTCCCTTATCTAACTACTCCTAGGTCACTGGGCCAATTTCAACCAAACTTTGTGGGATTATAGTTTGGAACAAAGGGCATGTTAATGTGAGTTAACAACACTCTTCATCCCTGTTAATGAGCATTTATTATCTTTGACATAAATTAATGTTAACTACACACATAGATGGTGCCATATCCTTACACACAAAAAATATCAAATTTTCTATAACACAACCTTCATAAAGTGTGTGTGTGGGGGTACACAAAACATCTTATATATATCTCAGAAAGTGCACTATCACTCTCTATGCAGGAATGCAATGGAAAAAAAAAACATCACTACTATTGTAATACATAAACTCAGGTAAAAATGTTCTCCAACAGCCACCATAAGGTAGATATGAAGAGTCATTTCTTGGGTTATACCCACTTCCTACTTTGCCTCATGAAGTTTCAACTTCGGCCCATAAAACACCCTTTGCGGCCAATGACCGTCAATTAATTAACCACATGAAACACTGTGGAAGAACATTAAGAGTTGGTTGCTGAAACCGGTTAACAGAAAGCACCCCTTCTGTCACTACTTTGGCTGCTACCTCTTAATACAAAGCGTATGTATACACAGTGTATACCATGTTTTAACTATGTACATATTGAGTTCTTAAAGCTTTTACAAAACATTTGGTGAAGTAATAATGAATACTGTAATAATATGTTATGTTATAAATATATTGTGTGAAAGTTATGATTTTTGTGTTATTTATCACAGCATCCACCCCACATTTTTTAAAGTTCATAACCTGGACAAAGGACAGGTTCCTCAGCTTGTTGATAATAAAACCACTAGCACAACAAAGCTAAACTAATTGAAATATTCCTAGAAGAGGGGACTGATCATACAATGTGACCTTTATCATCACCAGCCTTCTATCCCATCAATCATATACGAGAGCTTTTTGCACAGCACATCCTATCAAGTTAATCCAGACACTAAAGAGGTCCTGGAACAGTTCTTTCAGAGAATAATTAAGAATACCTCAAAACCTTATCAACAATGTCATTTTAAAAGTGCTTGACATTGGTGTCAGACTCCTCATACTGTTCATGATGACCACATTTCATACTGAAGTGGTATGTCATAAACTGTAAAGCAAAAAACAATTAAACCTGCATTAGTAAAAAACTGGATTATAAAGGATGAAGTACAAGCTTGGGCAAAACATAAAAAAAAAGAAACAGTTTAACTGATAATGTTTCGAGAAACCACCCTTAGTCAGATCTATATGTTGGCTGTTAGAATACTGGACCATCTTAAGTGTTAAAGAATGGAAGTTATCTTCATCAATGTTGAAAAATAACAAATGTAACAATGACGACTAAGTTAATATATGTGATTATGAATCCAGATATTTATTATTAAAATTACTAAAAATAACAATAGTAAAAGTAATAGAATCACGACTAGAGATAACTATTGACATTACTATAACAATATTAAAAGTAATAGAATCATGACTAGAGATAACTACTGACATTACTATAACAATATTAAAAGTAATAGAATCATGACTAGAGATAACTACTGACATTACTATAACAGTATTAAAAGTAATAGAATCACGACTAGAGATAACTGCTGACATTACTATAACAATATTAAAAGTAATAGAATCACAACTAGAGATAACTACTGACATCACTATAACTTGCTAAATTTTATATATATCCGAGTTTGAAAATCTTCTTATTCTGTAGGTTTTCTCTCTGGTTGGTGTTGGAGGGTGCACACTTAAAATCTGTGATAGAAAAGTCATTAATTATGTGTCATTTTTTGACTGAAACATCATCCTGTCAGTTTGGAAGTGATGTTCTTCTTGATGTAACATATGTATTCTCTTGCAGTTATAAAGACTGCAGCCTGTTTGTTCTATGTTACACAATAAATGAGACAATGGGATGTACAAGAAGTTTGTAAAGAAATAGGCATCTTTCAAATTTTCATTTAGGACTGTAGGACATCATAAGGTGTCTGATTTGCATAAAAATGAACTGGGGGAAAACAACAATATAACAGTGGTTTTGCTTTGCATAGCTAAATCACTATAAATTTTAACCACCCTTGTGATTAGTTCAATATATATAATATATTTTTCTAGGGGTCTTGCAAATATGCACCTATATTTTTTGGTAATAAAGATCTTAATACATAATTGACAGATCAAGAACAAAATTTTATAATATCTTAGCTGAAACCTAATTATAGCTTTTTATTGCTTTACTTCTTGCCATTAAAAACTGAGAATAAAACAACATAGTGACATCACAAGTAAAACTGTTATGTGCAAGGTTTTCTATCCCTGTCAAAATTAATCGTTTACTAAAGATGCATAGTTCCTTGAAAATTTCAAACTAAATACAAATTTTTTCAGGTACTAAGACTGAATGATGCATATTTAGTAGTACTATAATTAAAAAGCTATTCAGGAACACAAACAGTAGTTTATTTTATAATGCTAAGTACTGTATAATTCAGAACACATCGGATGAGAGTTGCAATACCTCAATAAGCTAGGTGTCCTTATTGTTGGTTTCTTTGTTTACATTTTACAGTGCTTAATACCTTTTCCAATGTTTTAGATTTTATTCATCCCAATTTGAGTATCAACACTAATCATAAAGTGAAAAAAAAGGAATGATTAATTTTCTCATTGAATAGAGTTGTTTAAACATTTGTTTAACCAAGTAAAACTTGGAATGGTCTATTCTTTCATTG